GCTCCAGGGGACCCAGCAGATACCAGTGACAGCTCCATAGCTGAATAAAGCAGTATTCTCTGCTACACCAGGGGTTTGCCCATGGTTGGGAAGTGCTGCTTGTGGCACTGCTGATGGTTCCTGCTCTGATAGCCAGCCCCACTGTGGGAGGTGCTGCTTTTCCTTCTCCTGTCTCACCTACCCAGTTCACCTTTGCCTGGCATATTTTGGCAGCTCTCCAAAATAAATTTCCTCATGTCTTCAGCCCCTGGTGCAGCTGAGGTTTTGAAGCAAAATTATTTGATGTTCTTTATTCTTCATGCTCTTTTTCCTCAGCCCTTGACTGTGCTGAACCTGCTCTTACTCCTCAGTGAGCTGTACCTGAGATGCCTCTTGCTGCACCTTGATGAGACTGGCAAGCCTTGCAGTGTCTCCCTTGGTGCCTTATTTCCAGCCAGGAGGGCTTCTCCTGGGAGTTACTGTCTCCAGTTAATTCATTACAGGGATTGAGATGATGCTTCACCAGTTTTACCCTGCGAACAACACAGGTTTCCTCATGTTTCAGGATCCAGTTGCTACTGGAAAGCAACTTGAAACACCAAGGGACAGCTCTTCATTTTAGTGAAATACTGACAGCCTTTAGCCCTGTCTTTGCAATTTGGTTTCTGTGCACTTTGCATGACTCAGAGCATCTCCATGCCCCCGTCTCTCTGCAAATGTGGTACCTGCTCCTGCTCCTTCCCTTTGCTCTAATGGAAAACTGCATTATCAGTCTTGGGCCTTACTAGTGATAAAATCTCATCACAAAATGTCAGGTCTAATACTTGCCTCTGTCCCAATCCTTTCCTCAGCTCTGGGAAAACGTTCTTTGACAGGACAAAGTAGGATTTGGCAAATTGTTCTATTTGAAAATACGGGGAGGAAAATGTTTCTGGTTTCTCAGTGCAGACCACTTCGCTGCCTTTTTTTTATTTTCCTGCCTTTTTAGGAGGCAGGGAGACTGATGAAGGGAGTAGAGCAGGTAAACTAAAAATTATTAGCTGTTTTCAAACTAAGATGTAATTGTTCTCTAAAAGGACACAAGCTGGAAGGAAGTGTTTGATAGTTAACCAAAGTGTTTGAACTGTCCCAAGACAGAGTTGCTTTTTTAAAAATTCTCTTCGTGAAGTATTTCTAAGAACTGCCATAATTTAGTATGAATTTTTTTTTAAAATAACTCTGATTAAAAATAAAAACACCAACAGGTTTCAGTACCTGTACTGATCACTGGTTTTATTGGCATCAGTGGGAGTTTCCCAAGAGCCTGGTGGAACCAGGATAGGACCTTTGATCTGTTTGCTCCTGGTATCAGTGTCCTCTGTCTCCATCAAATCTGACTGATCTAAAAGTTAGGGGGAAACATGAGAAAAGACCAAGCAAATGGTATTAAAGCTAGCCACAAATTTAGCATATTTTAATTCTTAGCAGCAACCCCAGCACTGGGAAAAGGGCTTTTGCAAGACCTCCTTCTCTACTAAGCAGCAGCTTTGTGGTTGCAGGACGAGGTGGGTGATGTTGAAAGTGTTCTCCTAATAGCAGGAGTGGTAGCATTTGTGCAGGATTTCTCAAAAGAGGAATGACGTCTTAAGCTAATTCAAACTTGCCTAATTTCCTCTTGTGTCCTCAATTCTGCACAAATGTTCAACCACGGGCTCTATCCCAATTGCTTAATTAGCCTATTTTTTGTGTCTGTCAGCATGCTCCATTGATCCTTGAGCAAGGTCCTGCTCTGTACAGACTCTGGACTATCCATTGTGACAGTCCATGCCTTGGGTTTTTCTACAATCTGCTAGATTTGTGAATTAAAGTGTAAAATACTATTACTGCAACCCTAGGATTTTGTTGAAGTTTCAAAAAAAGATAAAAAAGGGTGTAGGGTGAACCAGTTGTTTCCTTGACTTTAGAACAAACTACAGAAAAAGAGAAAACACAATTAACGTGGCTTTTTTTTAAGCTAGCCTAGAGGTGAATAATAATTTAATAGCTTTTGTAAGATGTTAAATAGGTGTTTCAGTGGATGCTCTATCCCACATTGCCCTCTAGTGAGGACATGGCAGAGCAAATCGTGCCTTCCTGCAGCCACTAGGATATGAAATGTGGTATTTTAGTAACTGAGGACAGGGCTTGTTTCTGACATAGTGGGTTTGAGATGCAGTGGTGTGGGGATGGGCAGGTTCATCTGTCACCTGTGCCTGCACCTGCACTGGCTGCTTTCTCAATGTTTGCTTTTTGCTGAGATAATTCTCTCTGCAAGCGTCTCCTTGCTGCTGCTGGACCACCAGCCACAGGTCCCTGCTCTCTTCTGCTTCTGGGAAAGGGGAAAACATTTCCCCTTTTTTGGTGAAGGATGATTTTTTCCATGTTCTTTGTCTTGCACTTTGCTCCATGAAACAAACACCAGCTCTGTGGTTTTCCCTGTACACACATGGTCAGAGCAACTCTGTGGTTTGGAGATCACCACAGGACAAACTTCCACCCCTCCTCAACCCAACACTGATGCATCCAAAGGTGTTGCCTGGAGGGTAGAACTGGCTGGCCCTTCTGCTCCATTTGTCATTGCTCCAGCTGATACGGGGCCCAGCGTATGCTTGACCATATTTACATAGAAAATCGTAATTTATGTTCAGTTTCCAAAGGTATTTGAATGCTGTCTCCTTCATCACAGGAGTAGCCATGGCAATCTCTGCTACAGGCTGTCTCCTTCAACTCTGTGCCTGAAACAATTCTAGAAAAGTTTGTCCTAGAGCAGGGAAGGGGCACGGACTGAGTGTACGTGGCAGAAATGTGGGTGTTGACAGTGCCCTGTGTCAGTGCCACCCTCCTTGGGGCTGTAGGAGCCCAGGAACACCATCGTGTTTCAGGAGTGAGGATGAGCAGCAGTCACCCAACCTGCTCCACCTGGCACTTGGGGCTGAACGACAAACACCGATGCCATCTAGTGACCAACAAAAAATGTGACATGGGTATTTTATAAAATCCTGTTGGAAACTGTATAGCTGCAAGTGGGGCTAGGAGGGAAGGGAGATGAGGCTGGAGGTGTGCTGGGAAAAGAAATCCCTTTTTCTGCTCTCCCAGCATTTCACATGCCATGAAATGCTTCTGCTTCTGCAGAAGAGAATCTTCTCTTCGCAGGATCTCCCCTGTGAGGCTTCACAGATCCCCAAAGGCAAGGCACAAACTTGCTAAGCAGCTCTGTGGTTGGAGGAGCACAAATGTCCCAGTGTTCTGCTGGACCATGGAGCACAAACCCAGCACAGCAGGACAAGGTGGCTGCAGGAGAGGAGATGATGGCTGGTCCACTCGTGACATGGGACATCACGGGCAGAGACCTCGGCACTTAATCTAACCACGGGCTGTGACACAGTGCCATTGCTGCAGCTTAGAGCTTGGCAGAGACTGGGCAGGGGCTGGCAGCTCCTGCTGCTGCCCTGACAGCGGTGACCCCTCACTGCAGCTCATACAACTTCCTTTCCTCCCACCACCTTCGTCTGTCCCTCGTGCTGCTGAAGGTGAGAGGCTTTAACACACCGGGTTTGTGTGAGCAGCTGGCTGGAGGCACCTCTGCTTTGTCCCTGGTCATCAATCCAACCAAGTCCCAGTGCCAGCAACCTGGAGGAGTTAGTTTGCACCCTGCATGTTTAAAATGAAGCTGAAGTTGCTTCTGACCATTCCAGTTTATTCTGCTTGGCTAAGCCGTTGTTGGCAGATGTGGATTCCCTTGCTTGGGGATGGCGGTCTGGGAATTTTTTTGCAGCTCTGATAATTTCTCCAGCTCCTGAGAAATGCACAGAGAGGGAACTTGGGAATTAAAAAGTTTCCAGATAAGGAACTTGAGGGCTGAGATAGCTGTGATGAAGTGCATTATAAATGCACTGAGATGCCAGGCAACACCCCCAGAGAGATTAGGAGAGCCAGCAAAGAGCCCAGATGCAAATGAGCTCCTTCATGGGCCACCTCTGAGGTGCAGTGACACCAGGACTGGTGCTGGCACGTCTCTGCTGAGGTGCCCCCCCCACCAGGCACATGGGTCCATCAGCAGTGCCTTCCCCAGAGGGAACAAGCAGGCTCATGCTCTGCTGCACACTGCTCAGTCTGCACCCTTCAGAAAGCCATTTACAAGGGTCCTTGGGGGACTTCTTGTTGTTTTTCCCAAATGTGAAAGTACCTAATATGTTCTTATTGTCTAATTTACAAATGTTTTGTATATCTTTGCTGCTTCTTTTTCTGGATTATCCTTGTGTTCCCCCGCCTTTCTGCCCTGGATAATTGAGAGCTGGCGCTGTGCCTGTAGTGTTCCTGTTTCAGGGCCAAAATGGGAGTGAAAATAAATGCTTCTAAATACTGTATTGAAACAAATAAGTAATTTACTCATAATAGCTCTTCTCCTGGCATTACACTGGCAATTTCATGCAGGTTTTGCAGAAAGAAAAAGCGGTTGTGAGAGGCTGGAAGATCCACACAGCATGAATATTTGCCATGTGTGTCTGATGGGGAGAAGGGCTTCACAGATTAGGAAAAGTGTTCCTACTTCTGTAAAGGGACTTTATCCAGCAGTCTGTGACAACACTAGTTTCATAGATTTGCTGTCCCTAATGTCTGAAAATTCTGTCTACCAAGATTTTAGGTGGAGGTGGCAAGAGTTGCCCGTGAGGAGAAGGCAGGTCTGCTTTACCTTGTGCTGTTGAGTAAGACATCTTTTAGAGCATCCAGCCGACCAAAACACAGCATATGTCCACACTGTCTTCTCAGCTCAATAGAAATCCTTCAGCATTATCACACCTCCATCTGCTCATTTTCCTGAAGAGATATGGAAAAGCAAAATACATTTAAGGGTGCTCTTCTGCCTGGAGCATTCAACACAGAGACTGCCTCTATCTATTTGGCATCACTAAGGTAATACCATCTTACAGCAGACAAGCAGAACAACTTGCAATGAATAACCAGAGCCCAGTACTAATCTTCTCTTTCTTCTCTCCTTGTAGGGATCCTGTTTACAATGCTGGTATTTGGACCAGCCTGTGGATTTATCTTGGGCTCCTTCTGTACCAAAATCTATGTGGATGCTGTCTTCATTGACACAAGTAAGGAGTGCTGTGGTTTGGTTTCAAATCAAATTCGCTAAATTTTTATCATCAGGACAAAAATGTTGATGCTCACAATCAGGAAACTGGCTGTCATTCCATCTTCACTACCTCTTTCCAGAAGGGTTTTGAGACTGGGATTCAAAAGGTTTCAGCTCTGTTCTGATAAATAACAGATTTATAATGGTTAAAATTTGTTCCCTTCTGTGTTTTCTGCTATGAGTTTCATCCCAGCCCTTAAAGGACACCTTGCACTGTCATGCCAGAGGAGCTGTGTCCAGAGCACGGGGTGAAATCTGGAGAGCTGCCACCCCAGGGTGTGGTGGAGCCAGGTTCTGATGGAGGCACACCAGTAAGATCCATGCCCAGCACCTTCTGTCCTGCTTGGATGGGCAGCATCAGTCCCACAGCATTAGTGCTTTTCTCCAAAACATTAAATAATTATTGCTCACCTTCACTCGGGTTAAAGCAGATTGTTTGCAAATTGTCCTTTTGTTCCTTTAGACCAAATTCTGGTTTTATTGGTGCCTGCACTGTGTGTTCTTGGCCATGAGAGGGCAACATGTAACAGGCTGTTCTCTGCTGCTCCCCGGCCCTGTGGCTGCACACGGCAAACCTGATGTTCTTTCCTTTCCCTCAGTTGTTCAGATGCTTTTTCCACCGTTCTCAGCTCCATCGGATCCCACAGACCCTTATGCAGGGTTTTTGTCCCTTAGAGGGTGCATTTCAGCCCTGTGATGGTGCAAATGTGTTGTCACAGAACGCATTAGGATGGAGTTGAACCTTGCGGGACTCAGAACAGAATTGCTCTGAGAACAATTGTTCTCAGATCTCTGCAAGATCTGAGGACAGATCTGCAAATCTGCACCGAAAAGTGTTAGTGCCTTTTTTTGATCTCACAAGCAGATGGCAGCTGAGGAAATGTAAATAATATCAAATGACAAAGAAGTATCTTTTGGGATGGCTGAAACATTTGGCTGCAGTTTGGTCAAACACCACATGGCCCCTTTTCATTCCTTGGCTTTACCAAAGCCTCACTTGGCAGAGGAACTGTTTGAAACCTGTTAGATATTTGACCATTTAGTATAATTTATACTAAAATATGAATGTACAGAAGAAAATATTTTATCTCCCTGTAGGTAAAGCTGTGGAACTCCTCACCATAAGGTGCTAAAAATCTCCAAATGGATTTTAAAAGCAATAGGACAAGTTTATATATGAAAAAAATGAACATAACTCCAAAGCTAGCTCAGCCCCCGAGTCGCAAGAATAATATATGCTGACTTTATTCTTACAGGCTTTCTGGGTAGCTGCAGCTGGTTACCATGAGAGGCAAGACGCTGACCTAGCTAAAAAGTTAATTGGGTGTCTTCTGGCCATTTTTAACATAAGGCATTGCTCAGTATTTACAGCTCAAAAAGCCCCAGACAGATACAGAGCCACAGTGAAGAGCTGAGGAAGGTTACTGCTGAGAAGCCTGGAAGGGCTGTGGCTCAGCCACTTTACAGGGAGGCTGCAGCGCTCCCAGCTCCAGCTGGCTTTGGCCATGGTCAGTCACTGACCTGCAAAAGCTGGGCCACACATGGCCTCTGTTTATTTTTGCATGGGAAGGAGTTTCCCCTTTGCATCTGGCTCTGCCTTTTACAGCTCGAGGTGGCACAAGAACAAGCTCTGGGGGGTTGAGCCTTGTCCTGCCCCCTGTTCTGGGCAGGTGTGGGATGCCAGGGCATGCTGCTGCGCTGCCTGCCACCCAGCAGCTATTTTAGGAAGGGAATATGAAGAAGACTCTGATTTGCCTGACTCTTCACACTGTTGTGCTCCCAAGAACCTGAAAAAAATGCACTTCAGGCAGGAAGAAATAACAGCAGAGGAATCCAGTCCCTCCACAACACTATTTTTCAAACTTTATCTGTATTTGAGGGCTACGTGTTGTTTTCCCTAAGGAAAAAAAAGAATTTCCTTCTGTCTCTGCTTGAGAGACAACTTGATTGCCTCACTTGAGACAGATTTTTCAGAGTGGCAGTAACCAGACAGTCACCATGAGCAGAGGAGCTTGTTATTCCAGCCATGTGGACCTAAGTCTCCTCCAGGAATCAGCTCCAGCACTGGGCACCCTTGTGGCTGTGGTAGCAAGGCAGCTGTTAGGAAAACAGTTTTTCCTCTCCCGCTGTTTATTTGTATTTCCCCACATGGACTCCAGACCCTTCTTAGGCCTTGCCTCTGCTCAGCTGTGGCCTAGAGGATACTCTAACCTTTTATTTTGTTCTTCCTTTTCTGATTACTTTGGTACTTTCCTGAGCCCATTTGATGCTGTGGGTGGGTTTCTTTTCCAATATTTAGGACTGTTTCACCCTCCACACAGTCAGAGGTGCCCCTAAAGCCCAAATGCCAATCTCTCTTTTGCTGAAAAGGGCTGAGAATTCAAAGCAGAGGGAGCATTGAGCTCCTGGGAAAGCAGGGTTGGAGGTGCAGTGTTCTTCTCTGTGCCAGGGGGTGTATCAGGTGAGTGGGGCACACTGGGACAGGGATGTCCAAAACCTCCATGCCAGCACAGGGGACACTGGTACACAGCAGCTTCCTGGAGCTAGCAGAGCCAAAAACGCTAGGGAGAAGCTCTGACTGCAGGGTGTTGCCAAAGCTGGGTGTACCATTTAGGCAGAAGTGATGGGAGCTAGTCCTGACGATCCCTTGAGTGTGGAGGACACTGTGCACTGGTGGCTCACACACTGCAGCTCCCACCTTGTGTCTCGTGCCCCTCACCAGGGGTCCCTGTGACCGCCTTGCAGCCCACGGGATCATTCACGCCGTTGTCTCCCCCTCCCCACGGCCAAGCCCCTGACCCGTGTTTGCTCCCCCCACAGGTAAGCTGGACATAACCCCGGACGACCCTCGGTGGATCGGAGCGTGGTGGGGAGGCTTCCTGCTCTGTGGTGCCTTACTCTTCTTCTCGTCCCTGCCCATGTTCGGCTTCCCGCAGTCGCTGCCGCCGCGGCCCGAGCGCGCCGGGGAGAGCGAGCAGGCCATGCTCCCCGACAGGGACTACGAGCGGCCCAAGCCCAGCAACGGGGTCCTGCGGCACCCCTTGGATGGGGACAGCAGCACCACCTGCTTCCAGCAGCTGCGAGGTGAGACACGCGGCGTGCCGCCCACGAGGCTCAGCACCAGGCCCTCTGTCCCGCCAAAAGTCACCCGGGAAATCTGTAACCTGATGTTTTCAGTCCCTAGCTTCTAATTAATTATCTCTGGCATTGTCTGCATCTGAAAGAGAGACTTTGTTCTGCCTGAAAGCTTTGGGTTTCCTTTTTTTTTTTAAGCTGCAAAGCTTCAGATGTGCATGATAGTCCTAAGGAGTTGGTAAAAAAAAATGAAAGGGAGCGCAGCTGCCAGAGCAGTTTGTGAACTTCTCTCCAGTGTACTGTCCTCCTCCCCTCTGCTTCTCAAAACAGAGAGTGAGCCAGCAAGAGCACTTAAAAGAAATTGGGAGCTCCCAGCACCTGAGCTTCAGCTTGGTGCAATCCCAGATGCAAAGCAATGAGTGTTGGGCATCACCACAGCCCTTAAACTGAAATGGGAAGAGGGAGATACCAGCCCAGAATAGCTGCAAAATGGCAGGGCAGAGCATGATTTGTTGCCAATTAGAGAGAAAGCCTCATATCATGTCCTGCAGTGATGGAAATGGAGGAGGCTCTAATTAAAGTCAGCTGAGGATCCAACATTTTGTGGGAAAATGTGAGTAGATATCCTTTCTCTGGGCTGTACTGGAAAACCCTTCATCTGAGAGGGTGTTTCTGTAGCACTGGGGGCTGCTTCCCACACCCTGTTGCTGTGGCAGAGCGAGTTTCATTACTGCCTGATGCATTTAGATAAATGAGGACAAAATCCCTTACTCCCTGTGCAGTCACCTTAATTGGGAGTTGAATGAAGTGCGGGTGGGAAGGGAAAAGAGACTTTGGGGAAAAAAGTGTTGTCTAAATATATAAAAATGCCTTGAATAGTAGATGTGGTTGTTCATTAAGGGAAGGTCAAAGATGTGAAATTTTGACTTGATGAGGAAATTCAGAAGAAAGGTAAAGGGATAAGTTGTTTGAAACTCGGTCAGTAAAATTAATTTCTTCATCCTTTCATCCTTGTTGCAAGGATTTTTTCTCTTGAATGGACTTTTCCCATTATATGTCCATTTGGATAGTGCTGTGGCTTTTGTTGTGTACACATCAGAGTGTCTGCTTCTGGCCACTGAGCTTTTGGAGTGGGCACTGGAAACATTTGCAGATTTTCATATAGAAAAATGAAAGAAAATGACGTATCCCTGCTGCATGGAGGGGCAGCAGTTCAGCCTGAGGATGGTGCTGAGCATCTTGCACACAGGGAGGCCATGGGGGGTTCACTGAGCATCTGTTGCTCATTGAAGTAAAGAAATTAAACTGCCACATCCATATGCTTCAAGTATTGATTACATCAGGAGGCACCACAGGCCTCCACGTTAGGCCCCCACTGCAGGTAACCCCATTTCTGAGCAGTCAGTATTCCAGGAGCCTCTTTGTAGATGGACTTTGAAATAAAATTTATGTCACATCAAATAAGGCAAGGAACGACCTTTTTAGTTATTCCTTTGAGGCTGTCACAGACGACATGGTGTTGGTAGCTGACATCTCCTTTCAAGTCCCTTGCCACTGTTGTCACAGTCAGAATGTGGTCAAGAGTCGTGCTGCTGAAGTCAGGCAAGCACACCTCATCATTCCTGATGAGCAGGGTTTCAAGGTGATGGTTTAATCTTTCTTTGGGTATACATTACTTTGGTAGCAGCTGAAATATCTGTATGCATTCCTGTGTGGCAGGTCTTAGTCTCCTTAATATATTTGTTGGTTCTCCTTTGGAGAACGTTAAGACTGTTTGGGCTTTTCCCTAGAATAAAAAAAAAGGCTCTTAGTTATATACAGAGGTTCAAAATATGTATGTGCATGCATAGTCATGTTCTTCTGTCCTAATGTGACCTTGGATTTTGCATGAATTTGTGACACTGAACAGAATCCATGGGATCATAAAGTGGCATGAGTTGGAAGTGACCTTAATGACCATCCAGTTCCAACCCCTTTGCCATGGGCAGGAACACCTTCACTAGACCATCTTGTTCAGAGCTCCATCCATTCTGGCCCTGAACACTTCCAGGGATGGGACAACCACAGCTGTTCTGGGCAACAGCAGAGAATTTGCCTGTACAGGGGGCTGGGACCAGAGATGCTCCCTGGGACTATGGCTGTGACTGACTCATTTTTAGCAAACATTGTCTCTGCAGCTTATCCTGGGCAGGGCTGTTCCTGCTGTAAATGCATGTCTGCATGGAGGTGAGGATTGTCCATCTCTTGTGCAAGTGTGGGGAGCAAGAGCTGTTTCTCTGGATTGATTATGCAAACACCCTCTGTATCAATAACACATCCTTAAAGGATGAACTGCATCTCCTTTTTGGCTACTGAAGGAGCTTTATTATTTTTTACATTTTTTCCCAAGCCTTGCAGTGACTGCCACAAGAGAAGGGACATGGTAGGAGAGGGAGCAGGGCAGTGTCAGCTGGGGACATGCTCTGAGCTGCTGGGTCATGGCTGTCACCTAGAGATACAGCACGGCTGGCACGTGGGAAGATGCTCCAGACACCACAGGATCTGCTGAAAGTCATTGAGATGGAGGGCTGGCTGAGATTCCTTGGCTTTCTGTAGCCTTAGCACACAAAAAAACCCGGGACTAATATAAAAGAAACATGCTCAAAGTATCAATCTTTTACATTTCTGTAAAATTCTAAGCAGGAGGGAGGGCCCAGCTTTTGAGAAACCCTGGCAATCTCTTCCTGTGGGGTATTTTCATGCCAGGAAAGAAGCAGTCTTAAGAGCAGCTCTAAACTTGAAATGAAGGTGGTGCCTTTGAACAGCACGAGGTGAAGAGGCAATCAAAGGCAGTGGAGGCAGCGGGGGGCTCTGCACAGGGGCAAAGCAGCTCAGGCAGGAAAGCCTTGGGACGGTCCTGGGAGCTGCTTCCCACAGCTAAACTGGCACGTGAATGCTGCACCGCTTTGCCTGATTAGTATTTCAGTTCAGCAAAGCAAATCCATTTGGGAGCACAGAGAAGTGAAGGATTAACAGCAGTGGAAGTCTGAATAAATGCTGGCATTGCTCTTTGCTCCTGCCTGGCAGGGTTGAGCCAGGGCTGTGCTCTCCGTGTGGTCTGTGGGAGCACTTCAGGCATGGGCTGGGCAGTTCCTGCTCTTGTGGGGAGCACAGCTTTGCTTTCCCACCTCTGCTCTGTCTTGAAGACCTCTGTGCTCCTTGGGGCCAGAGAAGATGCTCGGCTGTGTCAGGGCACCTGTGCCCTCTGCTCCAGTCTGTCCAGCATCCGCCCCCTAACTCTCTGCCTCTGACACACCACCTGCTCTGGGACGTGCTTGAAAATAGTTCATTAAAACCCTTCTCTTTTTTTTCACACAGAAATGTCACGTCTATTGAATTCAGCAGCCAGTTCTGATGAAATCTGATTTCAGAATGCTTCCTCAGCATGATCTTTAACACCTCTGAAACATTCTGCCCTAAATGCATTCTGTTTTGCAATGATTTAAACCAGAAATTCGTTACGTTCTGCCGCTCTGTCTAGCAAGAGAGATTAAAACCCTAAAAGGATTGAAATTGATATGGAATCCTCCAGGTTTGGAAGGAGAAGCTCATTCACAATGAATTAAACGAAAACTCACTGTGGAATTAAATGAATTTCAGAACTGCAAATTCCCTAGATTTGGAAACATTTTGGTTTCTTTCCAGCTTCATTTTCAAGAGTGTAGGAGAGCTGGGATGTACAGCTGACAGCTGCCTTGTCTTCTGTTCAGTTCCGTCCTGCTCCGTGTACCAATCTGCTGAGTACCTAGGGAGGGAGCCACTCTGAATCCAGGATTGATCTCCCAAAAAGTGCTCTCTGGGAGCAGACATACAGTGCTAGGGCAGAAGCTCCCAGCTGTGCAGGGAGGGCCTGGACCATGGGGAGCCTGTAATCCTCAGTGGGAGTTCATAGGATTGGGCAGGATTAAAGACTAACAAAAGTAGTTTTTAACTCCTGACTCCTCATGACTGATAGTGACAACCTTTTGGAGGGGGCTCCATCTATAGCTTCATTCACAGCCACAGTGGTGAGGCTTCAGCCCAGGTTTAGGTTTCAAAGTCTTCTTGGACTCGGGTCTTGTCCCCCTGCAAACACCTTAAAGGCTTGCTGGGAAACCCAAGTCTTAGGTGAGAAAGTGGTGATCACAAAAGGCATCAGGTCCTGTCTTTGAGTTTCCTTTGGCTTGTGTTTCATGAGGATGCAGATACTGTTGTCAGGTTTTTCTTGGCTATTTCCAAGTCAGCATCTTCTTCTCAGCAGCATGAAAAAATTCAGAAAGGTCTTCAGCCTGCACACCTCAGGGCCAAAGCTGAGCAGCAGCTGAAGGCAGGGAGAGCCTGTCTCCAAAAAATGCTTTTTCATGACTTCAGTGTCACAGGTGAGGGAGGTTTATGTCCTCCTCTCAAGTCAAGTAAAGGTGGTTCCTGCAGGGAAGATGATGTACTAGAAGGACCTGCTTTCCATGCTTGAGTATGCTACTTCTGCTTCAAGCTTGAATCTTGTCAGGAAGGCTTTTTTGATTTATGTGTCATCCTTTTCCCTCATATCCTTTATGATAATTTTGCCAAGGCCACATGGAACTTCAGCATACTAAACTCACCTGAGATATCTTCAGCACCTCTTGCCTTACTCCATATTCTCTTTTACAGGAGCTGCCTCTTTCCAGACCGTGTTTTATTCTTGCTGCCTGTGCTGTTTTCCTCATCCCTTTTTTCTCAATCCAGGTGGTGATTTTGCCTTTTTTTTTCTCTTCAGAGAGAGAGGCTTGCTGCTGACATGAGTAGTAGAAAGTCATATTTTGGCTCTATACTACATTTTGCCTTTTCCTTACCACACTGTCCTAGGTGGACTGGGCTGTAAAACTCCCTCTAATTTATTACTTTGCTTTCTGTGTTCTTCATCTTTACTGCAAATTGAAAACATGTCTCTGTAGGGTGCTCCAACCAGAAACAGGGGCCTTGGTGATTGTAATGTTCCAAACAATTCATTTCAAGCACCAACGTGATGATTATAGTTTGTCGTTTCTGGAGAGTAGTTAAACCTCGTGTAATGAGGTTGCCAATTATCCCCGGTACTCCCCGATGTGCAGTGACAAATCAAAGCTACTTGGTGGTACATAAGTGTGTGCATTTGTCAAGCCCCTGGCCTGTCATCCACAGAGGCCCCACAGAGGGAGACAGGGGGTGTGTTTTGATGCCTTGGCACGGGTGTTGCTTGAGTGTGAAAAGGTGGGAAGTCACGGGGTTGGTGGGGGGTATTGGAGAGCTTTGGGACACCCACCCAGGTCCCTCCCAGCCTGTGGATGATCCTGTGACCAAGGCTGTACACGGGTGGTCTGAAGAGTTGGAATTAAAGTATTTCAGCAGTGAAAAGAGGTGCTGTGTTCTCCTCAGTGCATCTTGAGAGGGCAGTGGGAATCGCTTTTCTGCCGCCGTTTCTGGAGCATATCGGGTGCAGCAGGACGAGGACGGTAAATGAGCTCCTCCTTCTGGGATTGGGAGGCTGAGTCTGTCTATGCCGTGTCTGCTTCAGCTTGTGGGTTCTCCAAGTAGATTTTTGAGACTCTTTGGACTCCAAAAGGCTTTTCCCACTTTGCAAATGGACTTCAGTTGAGCTCTATAGCTGCAAAGGGCTGCTCCAAAGTGTAAGGTGCAGGGTAACATTTACCACGACTCCTGCTGAGTTGGCTCCAGTGGAGAAGCACCATCTGTAGCTGTTGTGTTCCCCAGGGCTTCACTGTCCCCCATCAGGCATTTCTATTCCCATACCCAGCACCATATGCCAGGCAGCTGAAAGCATGTCACTCCAGTGCATTGAGAGATTTTAAACTTCACTGCTGACTTTTTACCTTTTCCCAGAGGTATTTCACCTCAAGAACTGAGACAGATAAGGCAGTAGCCAGTGTCAAATGATTGATCTTAACAAATGGCAGTAGCAAGATGAAAGGATATTCAATTCTATTGGGAACCTCCTGTCATTTCCTTTAGAAGATGAAAGAGAACAAGCTGACCCTGGCTGAGGGGATGGTGGAGGCTGCCAGACACTGCTTGGGCTGTTGGTGCGCTCTTTGCACTGGGTTTTGTGTCACACCTGCCTGATGGTGCAGAGTCCTGTTGCAGTAGACAGTGGTCAGACATTCAGCAGAGGACAGGATCTGTCCCAGAAAACTCACAGGAAGGAGAAGCATTGAGCGTGGAATCACAGAAAGATTTGGGTCAGAAGAGACCTTAAAGATCATCTTGTTCCAGACACTCACAATGGACAGAGACCCCTTCCACTAGAACAGGTTGCTCAAAGCCCTGCCCAGCCTGGCCTTGAACAGTTTCAGGGGCATCCACAGCTTCTCTGGGCAACCTGTTCCAGTGTCTCACATCCTCACATTAAAGAATTTCTTCCTTATATTGAATGTAATCCCTCCCTCTTTCAGTTTAAAGCCATTACTTGTCCTGTCACTACACACCTTTGTCAAAAGGTCCTCTCCAACTCTCCTGTAGCCCCTTTAGGTGATGAAGTGCTGTGACTTGGAGCCCTGCACTGCCAGATGAGGCACTTAGGAGTGGTTCCTCTTCTGTGTGAGATGCTGCAATAAATCTGCAAATTTTTGTTGTCCACCCCAAGCACAGAAGATGGATTTTGACCTTGGTAGTGCATGATGGTTGGGTGCCAGCTTCAGAAATAAATGTCCGTGATCTTTACCTCCGTCCTGCAAAAAGCAGGCTGTCACCACTACTGTTTGGTGGATAAAGTTAGAGCCAAACCTCAGTGTCTTTGGATTTAAATTGGCACAAAGCTGCATCTCAAGGAATCAATTAATCTTGAGCAAACTGAACTCCTGAGGCACAACAGTCATTAATACCTTAAATACGTCTTTTCAAGCTCAGTACTGCCAAGTCCATCTTTGCCTTTTCTATATTTTTCCTGGCAAGAAGGGGAAATTCTGTAGGTGGCCACCAAAGAACTGAAGGGTGCAGCAGGTGGCTTCTGAAATTTATCCATGTCTGAATTCCCCCATCCCCATTCCTCCCACACAGTATTTTTTCCTCTTTTTTCTTTTCTTTTTTCCTCTGTTCTGCTAAAAATTGCTATGCCTCTTGCACCTTAATTATGTTCAGTAAATCTTCAAGAAGCAGGAATTTTATATAGCTTGGAAAAACATTTCTGATATAAAGAGACCAGAAACTGTGGAGTGACCTCTTCCAAAAAAGGTAGATCAAACCCAATTATAACCATTTTTTCCACTGTCCCCAAGAAAGAACCACGGGCACCCAAGCAGAGCCTTGACAAAGAGCTCTGCATTCTCTGCTGAGGCCAGTGCAAAAAAATTCCTGAGGGAAAACATAAACCAGCACCAGAGAAACATCATCTGCCAGCCCCTGGTACACCGCAGGGAATGTGGGGGATGGATTTTCAAAATGCAAATAGGGGTCCATTGAGGCTTCACTACACTACATCAAGGTAATTTTCAAACTTAATGATTTTCACATTTAATTCAGGGAGAAATTAGTCATCAGGTACTGAGACAAAGCAAGGCTCTCTTCTGTACTGGGATGCTCTCTTCTTCAAGCTGTGTTATCTCGACAATAATTAAAATGTTCGCTGGAGTAGAAAACGTGCGATCTGATTCATTAGCCAGATTTCCCTTTGTAGGGTAACTCTTGTTTGCTTATGGGAAATTGAGATGGGATTGGAGAAGAGAGGACTCTGGACAATGATGATTTGGAAGGGGAGAGCCAAGGGATCTCCTTGAAAGCAGAGCCACATGTGTGTCCTACACAGTGAACAGCTCAGCATGTCCTCTTCCACCCTCTTAAGGATGGGAGAGTCTACGTGGAGGATGTTGGTTGGCTGGAGGAGCTTTAGGCTGTGGGAACACACTGACAAGCCTGTCCCAGGCAGGAGGACCCTTGTGCCATGGGTATCCACGGGCCAGACTAAGCCAGAGAGTTTCAGCTTGCTGAAAACACCCACATGTGCTGCAGAAAGGTGACCGTCAGTGAGTGTGCCAGTTTGGAACAGGAAAATGAAGCAAATCTGGGTTGCAGGAGTAGGAAAAAACAGATGTGAGCTGTGTTGGTTTGTGTCTGAAAGCTTGCAGGAATTTATGCTGAATACAGCACTGATGGCACCTGTTGGCTGGCTCAGCTTTATTCACAGGGAGCAGGTACGGAAAGGAGAAGGGGAAGAAAGAACACACCAGGTTTTGATTGACTTCCCTATGGGGGAAACAAAAAGCAATATTGGAAATTTTCCTCATTCAAAATCATCTGTAAGAGTAAATAATCACAGATGATTTCTTTTTGCACCCTCTTGGTCCTTGAATCTTTAGCTGGCACTTTTTGGGTGTTTCACTTCATTCTGGTGTTCCCACATTTGAAGCAGCTTGTCTGTGAGAACAGGAAATTACTCCTGATGTGAAGTGGGTTTTCCCTTCAGAAGAGGAGACAGGCACCTCCAGCACCTCAAGTAAAGTCTACACAAAAACACCTCTCCCTTTTTGTCTCTCTTCTAGTGATCCCCAAAGTGACTAAGCACCTGCTCTCCAACCCTGTGTTCACCTGCATCATCCTGGCAGCCTGCATGGAGATTGCGGTGGTGGCTGGCTTTGCTGCCTTCCTGGGGAAGTACCTGGAGCAGCAGTTCAACCTCACCACCTCATCTGCCAACCAGCTCCTGGGTGAGTACCCACGGGGACACCAAACCTCCACAGCATCACAAGCATCCACAGGTGTTGAAACGTGTTCAGCATGGCTGGGAACTGCTGCCAGGCTGCCCAAAAAGTCTGACTTGTGGAAATGTGTCTGTGAGTGAGAGGGCTGGGCTTCAGCTGTGCCATGGCTGCAGGGTTCAGAGCAGACCCCCAGCATCCTTTTTCCTCAACTGCGCTCTCCACTGCATCCTGCTGCCATCACTTCCCCCGTGGCCAAGCCTGTTGTGTGGGAAGCAGCCTGGGACAGCCAGGATAGGAGAGGCTGTGAGATGCAGCAGGAATGGGCTGTCAGATTGCCCAGACTGCAGCTGCTCTCCAAGTGATAGTGTGGCCCATTGAACTGCTTGTCTCATGGTTCTGGTGCCCCACAGTTGTGCAGCCCATCTCTGTCTGGGTTAGGAGGCCCTGTTTCCTGTCACTGCTTTCCCCTTGGCCTGGAAAGGACAGGATTGCAATGAACAGTTCAAATACCTGAGTTAGTGCAGCTTGGTCGTCTTTCAAATGTCCCTTCTCTCTGACCATTCCATGCTGCTGTGATTTCACGTTCTGATTTCTCAGTGTTCATTTGTTCCCTGTCAGGACACCGATGGCAGAATATTCATTTATTTTCTGCTGCTGCTCATCCCAGGCAGGCCCAGCCATTTGTTTATGACAGCCCTTCTCTCAGCAGCACCCAATTAAGATATCTGCAAGTTGATCTTGGATGATCTGCGACCACAGCTCGCCAGATGGGCAGCTGGCAGTGATCTGTCAAAAACTGGGACATCAGGACATGGGTGGATCTTCATATCATAACAAGGAGTTTGCAAGCTGCTCTCCTGACAGTTATTTCCCTATTAAACTCATTGATATCTTCTGGTTTTGGCACGGTTTTCCAAAAGAAACAATCCCCTTCAGTCAGCCTTGCCTCCCCAAGCGACTCGGGAATTTGCTAGTGAATTTTAATACGATTTGACAGAAGGCCAGAGGTCTCAAAGTTCTTAGGCTATTCCATCTTTCCTAAAAATTAAAGGCTTGGCAAAGGAAAAGTAGCTTCACTGTTGGCCCAGTGGGAGAAGGGAAAAAGCTGTTTGGTGGGAGCTGGCTGGGCAGTCAGCATGTGAGTTCAGCTGGGTGGCCAGCAAAGAGGGGATCACCCATGAGCCAGAGCACATCCTGCTTCTGACCTGAGAGTGGGAAAGGAGACTTGGGTATCTCTGTGTTTCTCACAGCAACTTGTTTAAACAAAGTTATAATCATATTTCTCACATGGCTTTTAAGGGAGTCTAGAAATGCCAGGACTGGGATTCTTTTCTAAGCACAGTTCAGGTGAGCAAGATCTGAGTTATAGCTGGCAGCAAAGGGATAAAAGTGACCCCAAACAAGCATAGTGTGGTAATTTCTCCCTGTGCTGGAAAGGGAATCACTTCTGGCTGTTATTTTGCATTTAACAGTTAATGAAAATTCTTCTAGGGAGATTTCATATTTTCAAATGCTGGTCCTGCCTAGTCTCTAAGACCAGACTACTATGAGTTGCACCAGCAAGGCTCATCCAGCGCCTCCAGACACCTTAGAAAATTCTTGACTTTATTTGCTGCTGCTGAGGTCAGGCTGGGCCAAGCTCAGCAAGTCTGGCATTCTCTCCAGCATGGATGAGAACTGGCAGAAGGGTTCTGCAAACAGGCAGCGTGCCTGTTTGCATCTGTTCCTTTTTTTGGGCAGCCCCAGCTTGGTGCTGCTCCAGCAGTTGTTCACTGCAAGGTTTCCTCATGCCAGAGCACAGATCTGGCTGCTGGAGAGTTCACCCCTGTCACAGTGTAGTTCACTGGGCCTTGCTCGTGCCTCTTGCTAACTGGTTTTTCCTCTTGCAGGGATGACAGCAATCCCGTGTGCGTGTCTGGGCATATTCCTGGGTGGCCTCTTGGTGAAGAAGCTCAGCCTGTCTGCTCTGGGAGCCATCAGGATGGCCATGCTGGTGAACCTGGTGTCCACAGCTTGCTACGTGTCCTTCCTGTTCCTGGGGTGTGACACAGGACCTGTGGCAGGGGTTACTGTTCCCTATGGAAACAAGTGAGTCCACAGAGGGTTCAGGGGAGCTTTACCAGCATAAATCCATGTCCTTGACAGGCAGGGCTGGCCTTCAGACAGCATTAGAGCAAGCATAGAGAAGGCAGTGTTGTATGGGCTCTTGGTCTGGGATGTTCCATGCCACTCACCACTGGGAGAGCTGAGTACCTGCAGATGACATTTCACTAAAATCCGAAATTCAGTCAAATTGAATCAAAAGGTGCCAGAGCTGAGTCTGTACTCACAGGAATCTCTGTAGCATTTGGTCTGGTTTGTCCTGGCAGTAAGGGACATGCACTGCTTTGTACATTGATTTAAGTGCCTGAGGGGAATTTGTAGAACTAGGTTTTAGATACCTGGAAATACAGATATGGTGAAGAGAGAGTGTTTGTGGTTGCAGGCCCATTTTAATGTGAGAAATGAGGCCCACATAACCCTCTAACATCCTGCACTCACAGGACTTGGAGAGAGACTTATTTGGTATTTTCTTCCTGAGTGCTCCTGTATGCAGTGGCAGCTCTTTAGATGACAACTTCAGCCTGTCAGCTCCTGACAGTGTTGCAGAAAAACACAGAGCAGTCTCCACAGCATCTCTTTGCGTTTCCATGAGGCTTCTTGTTGAGGTAACAGGGCAGCCCAAGCCTTGCATTAGATTCTCTTTTGCAAGGAGATAGTGGCCATGGCATTTCAGTCTCCAAGGAGAGGCTGTAGCCTTGATTTCTTAGACCTGGAACCCAGCTAGCTTGCCCACTGCTTTTTTGTAATGTGTTTGCCTTAACTATCCCCCTCCAAGGCATCTTTGTAAGGCAGCAGTTGGCTGATAATCACACTGTCCATTAATTTCTTTCTCTCTTTGTCTTGCAGCTCAACTCCAACCTCATCTCTGGACCCATATTCCCCCTGCAATAACAACTGTGAATGCCAAACTGATTCCTTCACTCCAGTGTGTGGGGCAGACGGGGTCACATACTTATCTGCCTGCTTTGCTGGCTGCAGCAGCACGGTGAGTGGGCTCTCCTGGGGACCTCGTGCCTGTAGGAACGGTTCTGGGAGCTCAAGTGAGGTTCCTGCATGTCTGGTAGAGTAGCTCACCCACAGCCAGCGGTGGCTGCACCCCCAAAAGCTGACCCCACACCTCTGGTGGGCCTGAGCCCCTGTTTTTCACTCTGTTCCAAAAATGCCCACTCACTGCCAGGGTCACCCATGGAGCAGGACAGGATCTCACAGCCTCCTGCCCTGGTCTTCCTCCTCAGCATGGAACGTGATAGGAGATCTGCACAGGTGTCCAGTGGCAGAACACATCCTCTGCAAAAGATTCCCAGCCCAGAAGGGACCAGCTGAGGAACCAGCTGAGGAACCAGCTTCTCTTTTATCCTACTGCTCCTCATGTCCTCTCTTCTCCACCTGCCCATGTTTGCCCTGCCCAACCCTTTTAGTCTTTTTCCTCTTGCTCTTTCCCTGAATCTGGTTCCTAGACAGTTGTGAGCAGATCCTGGTTTTATTCACCCTTGTTTAAGCTCTCCTTTAACTCCTCTTGGTTCTCTCTTTCCTTGCTTTGCTCTGAGGCAGGCACAAGAGCAGTTGTCAGGGGAGCAGAGATTCCATCCAAAGACATTCTGAATTTTTCAGTTCTCTCTAAGAGTTTATTTCCCTTAGAAAACTCTTAAAGACCAAACTATCTCTGTATAAAGAAGATGTGGGGAATTTTTAACAACGTCTTAAAAGCCAGCTTTTTCATTTTTTGCTGCTGAAATGTTAATGTCTTCTGGGTTACACTGAAAATGATTGCCTGCTGCTCCTGTGGTGGGGACTGGTGGGATTCCTGCATCCTTGCTCGCTGCCTGGGGCTGTGGCAGGCATGGTGATCACTGCTGTGTGGAATCTGTGGGAGGTCAGCCTGGGACTGTTCATGCCTACAGGGACATCAGTGCTCACCACATGCAATTATCCCTCCATGGCTTCATCCTCCCTCCTGGAGGAGATATCAAACCTCCCTGCCCTGGAGACAAAGCACATGTGAGTGCTGCTGAGCAGACACTTGCTGCTGGCAGTGCAGCCTCCCTGCCCAGATCACCTGTGAGCTTATTCTGCTCAAACTTCTTGTCTCCTCCATTCCCTCTCCAGCCTCAGAGATGCAGGCATCCCTTTGAAACACCACAGATTTGAGCTTTCAGCTGCCCTACAAGGATCTACATCAATATGTGACATGTGGAGGTGTTACCTCCTGCCCTCTTCTTCCTCCTCCTCCCAGTAAGTCAACACCTGAGATGGCAGCAGGATGGTTTTAAATGAAACCATCAAATTGTGTCTCACCAGTTCACCAAGCCTTCAGCAAGTGTACAGCTGGTGTTGGTCTGTGGCTGGAGCATGGGAGCGATCTCCTCACTGTGCAGTGCAAGGCAGAGCTCTGGCTCCTCTGGAAGGAGCATGGTAATGAAAATTCAGCTCTGCCCCTTCAGTCTGCAGCTGCCTGACCTTGTGCTCTGCAAGAGAAAACCTCTTGGCAAAAAACTCACTCTCCCTCATGCTCTCTCTTACTCATTCCTTCTTATTTTGCCTTTTCGTTGTCATCCTTGGGGTTCTTCTCATCTCTTTGTTTTGTGGGGGTTTTTTGCAGTAACATTTTGAACACAAATTGGTGAAGCAATAGCATCTGCTGGAAAGGGCATTATCAAGAATTATGGACCAGTTTGGCCATGCAATGGCCTTGAGGCAAAACCAGATTGCCAAACCAAGTTTTAAACCTATAATCCAGGTAATGACCTGTCTGGAGGGTCTTGTGAATGTTATGTGCTTGTGATGAGCCAAGGGTTGCTTTTTACTGGGACATAAAATTCTCTGAATGCTTTATTTAACTTTACTACATTTTACATTTCTGACTGCTTCTCTTCACTTTTCCTCTGTGAACAATTTCTAAAAGCAATGTGTAGCTCAGTTTTTTTTCATTCCTTCTCTCTTACTGAGCTGATTCCAGAGGTGCACTTGTCCAAAAAGCCATAGGAATATCAGTGCATGTAGGCAGAGCTCTGGCATCCCCAAGAACTTTTCTTTCAAGCCATTCCTGGGAGTGACCCTTGCATACCACGTGGTTTTTTTTGTTTGATGCCATTGACTCTCAGCATTTTGGCTGGAGACACATGAATTCCAGCCTGGAGTTGCTGAGCTGGCACCTCACAGCTTTGCATTGAAGTACCAGCCTGTCCGTTCCCTGTCAGAGCTAGGGCTTAAAAAATAAGTAATTAAAAACATGCATAATTTGCGTGGATAACCACACCAAAGTCAGGATGCTGGTAAAGGTGTAAACTCTGCATCTGTGTAGCCTCACAGGCACACTTAAATCTGGGTGTGCAGGTTGCTGGGCAGCAGAAGATTTTGATAACAAGTGGGTGAATGCAGTGGGGTTGCAGACAAGGGGATCTATGGAAGTTTGGCACAGGTAGCAAAAAACTGCCTCTCCACAGGTCAAAGTTAGAACTCTGTCTTTGATGTTTCCTTGTTTGATGTCTGTGAGTTACATACTGTGTCAGTAATAAAAGATCAAAGATCTCCCAGGTAAGGATGAGGTGCAGTGCTAAGCAAGCTGATGTAGTTGGTACAAACCACTCACTCTGCTTCGGGCCAGCACCTTGAAGCAAAGTGGTTGAAAAAGCAGATTGAGGGACAAATTTTCAGGCAGTGAAGGTAGGATCTGCCTTGTGCTTTATAAGAATTCACACCAGTGGGAGGACAGTCTTTCCCACCACTGCCCAAAACAGGTACCTTCTGTCCCTTGATAAGAGCCCTTGGGAAATAAACACCAAATTCTGTGTGTTTGCTGTGATGGGAATTTTGTCCAAGGGTTATTCAGTTTCAGGTATATACTTTTCTAGACTTACATAGGTTTTGATCCACAGGGCCTTGTCCAGGCTGGTGGCTGGCAGTGCAGTAAGAGCCAGGAACTACAAATTCCTGTTGTCTGTACAAATACCACCTCAGTGGTGCTAATCATCACCATTCTGGAGCCTTCAGGTGTCAACTTCTAACTCACAGCACAGGAATTTGTTATGTTAATTACTGCTTGCCAGCAGAAAGGCACCTGCATGTCTGCTCCCACTCTCCTGGAGTCCTGCACCACAGTCTCTCTTACCTTCTGTGCACTTAGTTGGAAAAAAATGATTTGACTCTTATGCAGAAGAAAGAGATTGGTGTCAGAAAGGCTGGAGTAGTATCCCTGCTGATCCTTATCTTTGGAGGCTGTGAACCAGCAAGTGTGCTTTTGTATGGTCCTAAGGGGACTCCTTTTGCAGAAATGCACAGGAATTTCTGCTTGCACATGGTATAGGGCAAAGGGAGGAGGCTCAGCTGCTTTTCAATATGTTGTATTTTATGACGTTACTCCTCATACAAACATGTGACCTGCAAACCCAGCGGGCTTGTGAAGACAAGACATGAATCATTAATGACTGTTTCTTTCTGTATTGGTCAAGGATTTTCTTGGTAGTATAGAGTGCCTTAATTGCACTGACATCCCTCACTCAGAAATTCAGGAGGGCGAGTTGGAAAATAGGGGGAAAAAAAATCCTTAATCTGTGACTGGCAAACAAAGCTTCTTTTCACATCCTCCTGGATGCTGGAGAGATCAAAGCAAAATGCAGCCATTCCACCCTCCTTCTGATTACATATTGATAAAGTTTATCTCGCTTGACTTGAGCTTTTAGCTCAACACAGATCCCTCTGAACCAGATGTCGTTTATTAGCCCTGGAGTGGAGTCCAGCAGCATCCGTGCTGCCAGGCTGTGGTAGCTCAGCTCTGGGTGAGCTGCAGCACCCACCGTGGGTGGCTCCTTCCCAGGGTTTGAGGTGCTGGAAGCAGGCCCTGAACCTGCAGCCAAGAACAGGGCTGCAGATTTACCTGCATTTAATGTACTTCAGTTTAATTGCAACAGCCAAGAGGACGGAGGTAAATAAGAAAGTAATTAGAACCATAATGGGGGGATCTTTTTTGTCACAGAGACACAGATTGTTTCTTTATTCTCCTCCAAAGAGGTAGAACTCGGTAATAATTTTGTTGTGGTGACATTTATGGGAGAGGCTTGAAAGGAGCAGAAGAAAAGAAACAAGCCAAGGGACAGCTTTCCCTTGCTGGCAACATGCGTCAGCTCTGACACTCCTGAAATTCTTTCCAAACCCCCCACAACGAGCACTTAGGAGTTATTTAATTGACCATTAGAGGATTAGGCGTTGCTGCTGACAAGCCCTGTTACAGAGGGCAGCGGTGGGGATTGCAGCTCTCCCTTCTCCTGACTCCTTGTGCTCCTCTGCAGAACCTCAGTGGCTGTTCGTGCCTCACCTCGGTCCCTGCCGAAAACGCCACCGTCGTTCCTGGCAAATGCCCCAGCCCTGGGTGCGAAGAGGCCTTCCTGACATTCCTGTGCGTGATGTGTGTCTGCAGCATGATCGGGGCCATGGCACAGACACCCTCAGTCATCATCCTCATCAGGTAGGGCTTCAGTCACATCCTCATCACTGGGGCTTCAGTCACATCCTCATCACTGGGGCTTCAGTCACATCCTCATCACTGGGGCTTGTCATATCCTCGTCACTGGGGCTTCAGTCATCACTCTCACCAAGTAGGGCCATCAGTCACATCCTCATCAGGATGGAACAAGGTGGAGGCAGCTGAGTACAGGGGCTGCTCCTCCACAAACACCCTCCCTCTAACAGTCTTCCTCCTCACCATCACTTTTTCCTTACACTCACCAAAGTGATGGTCGGTACTGCAAAGGATCAGAGTAGGAGATGCATTAGTGCATCAAGGGGACAAAGGACAAAAGATTGGCGATCATCAGGTGGGGCCACTCTTGGCATGGGATCAGGGCAGGAGGGACCCTGGGGCACAGTGGGGAGCTGGGGGTCCCACACAGCTCCTGGCCTCTGCCTTTTACACTGAACTCACTGTCCCCAGACCCATGACTTCAAACTGAACCTCCATTCAAGCCATTTCCTCCCTAAGCCACTTTTTTTTCACTTGGTAGTGCCTGGTTTAGCCATGGCATGGCCCCAGTTGAGGGCCTGCAGTGTGGAGCTGCTGGAGAGAAAATGAACTGCTCGAGCTCTCCTTTGGTAGAGGGAGTGAGGTGGAACTGGGCCCCCAAACAGACATGATTCCTGCAGGGATGTTGCAGAGAATGGTGGCAGGGGTTGTTTTCCTGGGATTAACATGGAAATAGAGATGTGAAGTTTCCAGCCCAGGTAGTAAGGAAGTTACAGCTGCATCAGGAGAGGGGCAGAATTGCCACCCCATGTAATGGCTTAGAGAGAGAGGCTTAGGCTCACCTTTAGAGATAGTCTGGAGACCATAGAAACCACAGAAGATTGAAAAGCTGTGGCAAAGACTAACTTTGGTGAATACCTCCCTGACTGGAGTTTAACTTCTCTCACCCTGGACCAAGTCCAAGAACATAAGGAACCTGGAAGTCTGAAGGATACATCTGAGTTAAACCAATGTGAATAGGTGGGCAAAAGCAGCTTATTCAAATAACTGACCTTGTGTTATTTCCAGACATATGGAATACTTCATGATATACATATATATCTAAGCCCACATTTATCCAGAATTACTTAGCTGTCCAAGCTGTCACTTACTGAGAATAATAACCAGAGGCATAAATAGCAGATCCATTCTGCTGCCTGGAAAATTCCAATAAAATTCAATCAATAAGGTCTGTATTAGAAACACACTCTTGAGTGGATTTTGGACAGAACAGCTCTGTGAGGGCATGTCTCCCTGCAGGATACAAAATGAGATATTCCACCTACTAGTTCATTTCTCTCTTTGCATCTCCCGTAGCTAAAGGGAAATCAAATTCCTCATGATAAATATTGTGACAAAAGCAATTTGAAGTTTGAAGAGTTCTTTGTTCAAGGAAGCTGCCAGCACCTTTAGGATCCTGCATGGAGATATCTTAGTGTTGCCTTCAAATGAGATAATCCCAGCCAGGAAGAAGAATACCAAGGAATAAGAAAAGCAAAGGGAAGATTAAACATAGTCAGTTCAGAGCTGTAGGAAATAAACAATTCACACATCCAGATTTATAATTTCACTCAGAATCACTGATAGCTACCAAATGTACAGGGGAGAGCTCTGAGCCAGATACCACCTCGTGCTCCCTTGCAACTGCCATCTTCCATGGCTGTAAGAAAGTTGTGGCATATGAATGTGTCCTTGGTGTCCAGAGCAGTGACAAGTAACACTGGCAGCTCCCATGATTATTTAAAAGTGGACTCAGTGTCTACAAATTAAATGTCTTGTCTGAGTCATTTGGTCACTGCTGTAGTCAGTGAGGAAAGGAGATGTCTCCAAATGGCAATTTTCACTCCAGCCTAAGGTGTGGGGATTGACTTTGGTCTTAAATATAGAAAAGTGGATGGAAGGGCACCTCTACCAATTAAAAGCCACCTGTGAATATCCCATGTGATAATCTATTTTTTCACTAAAATAAACTTTTAATTCTGTTTCCTTCATTTACCACCCAACTGTAGAATCCTATTTGATCCAAGCCATTAACTATTGGGCCATTTTTCCAAGGTCATATAATTCCTGGCATAAAGGCTTTTTATAAAGAGTGTGGGTCTGCCTGAAAACTGCTGAAAATCATCCCGAGGTCACAGGCTTTGTGCAGAAGTCATGGTGTGGTATTACATGGCCCATGAATGTCTGAGAGCAGGGCAGGTGATCAGAAGGGTCTTCTCTTAACTTAAAAGCTCTTACTGGTTTTGTTTTACCAGTTTTGGCTGATGCCCCTCCAGTGCATTTATACAGAGAACCACCCCTGCCATGAATGTTTTTTTAAGGTGCCTTCGAAGGGTAACTCTTAATGCAGTAGTGGTTGTTCATAGCAGAAGACGCTGCAAACACTGTCTTCCCAAGATAAACAAAGTGGCATGCTGAAGTCACGTGCATGAAAATTACTGCTGAACACTTCCTCACTGAATCAACAGGCTGACTGAACCTTTTGGTCCACCATCCTCCCTCCCTCTCTTGTTCCTAGTAGTCTGGGGAGTTTCAGAACCAAAAGTTTTCTCTCCCTTCAGCTGTCAACATCTGGAGCCTTGAAAACATGATAGGGAGCTTGTAAACAATGATTTAATGAGATGGGAATTCCATTTTTCCCCATCCAATGACAACATTAGCCATTGTTATTAATGACTTGGATAATTCCTGAACCTATCACCAATGCAATTACTTTTGGGGCTGTAGGCAGTTCAGGAGAAGGCAGAAGAAAAGCCCCATTAATGACTTTTTGAAGAGGTGCTGGTGGCATCCTGGCTGACAGCACAGAATGGCCACGGGGTGTGTTAATCACAGCAGAACAACAGAAATCGATTTCTCTCTCTCTCTCTCCCTCCCTCCTTCCTCCCTGCAGAACCGTGAGCCCCGAACTCAAGTCTTACGCTCTGGGGGTGCTTTTCCTGCTGCTCCGGTTGCTAGGTAGGTACAAAAGTTGTATGTCCTTCCCTCCCAACCTTTGTTGCTTCATGGAACACTCCATTTTTAACATGAAGAAAGTTGATTTCTACTCCCTGTAGTTGTCACGAGTGGGGTCCCACTCACTGGGGTCCAAGCCCTCTCCTTGAGGGATGTCACAGCAAGGCTCCTGAAGGCGCTTTTCCTGCTATTTGTGTTGTGCTAATGGAAGAAAATGCAGTGTTGCATGAGAAATGACTGTTTCTCCCATGGTCCCACACAAGCAGTTTCTCTTCTGTAGCTGTTATTAACGTGTCAGCAGCTTGCAGAATTACTGCTGTATTCCGTATCGCTGAGGTAGAAGGATGTGGATTTTCACCCTCCTTTGAGGGACAGGACCTGTGTTACAGCGTGGGTTTGCCCCTTCATTTGGGTGTCTCTGAAAGTAAACCTGGAAAATGAGACAAGCTGAGTCCCTGTTTCCTCCTGTGGGTTATCCCATTAAATTGCATATGGCTCCTCCTCTGGACCGGTATGTTCTCCTCATGTATGAATTAAAGGGAGCATACCAGGCTGCTGCTTGTTTCTGGGTGTTTTTTTTCCCTTCTGGCAGAGGTGGCTCCTATTTTAAAGCTCTTCTGTTTCAGCTCATTAGTCTCAGTGATTCAGGGCAGAATCCTCTGATCCATCATTGTGTGGGACCATCTCATGCCCAGGGTTTCTGCATGTTGTGGGAGTGGAATCTATGTTTTTTAGCAGGGCACAGGGAGCACCTTCCCTGCATGGCTCCCTTGGTCCCAGAGGAAGGAACTGTAAAGTGCCATCTCTTAGGCTACAGCAAGACACTGGGAGTACAGGACGGAAAATCCAGCAGTATCAGACATTGCTTTGAATAAGTGACCTCAGTTTTTTACTTATTAACACCTTATTCCCCTTAAGCTGAACAGGAAATGGTGCTGCCAGACCAGTTTACAATAAAGCCAATTAGATGTCCATTGATTTTGGTGAAGTTACTGCATTCATACAAAGAGCTCCATCAAGTTAACTTACTTCACAGGGAAGTTTCTGGGGTGACCTGGGTCAGCTCTGGTTCAAGCCTTGCAAACACAGCATTTTCTTTAGCTGCTGGTGCTGCTCCTGGGTTTTGGCCTGACTTCAGCTGTGACTGGCTGAATGTGGAGTGTCAGCAGGCAAGTGTGCAAGGAGGATGGCTATGGGGTGTTGTTTCCAAAGGAAAAATGCTTAAGGGGAGGGATTTTTAGCTTTTCTTTTTTTCCTTTCATAAGAGAGAAACCTCCTGAGGTAGCAGCATCCTGAATTCCTCTAAAACCAGGCTCAGACATGTATGCTTAAGTTGAACAGATTTATTTTTTTTCATTCCAATAAAGAAGCCATGGTGAGAATTTAAAGTCAAATCTTTATATGTTGCTCTGTCACTAAGGGATTCCCATGAAATAAGACAATACATCGTGAAGCATATCAGCAATGTAGCTGGAACACACAGAAAATGAAGAGAAAGATACTTTCCCATATGAGGAAGGGTATCCAAATTCTGCCTCTATCGGCCTGAGGTTTGAGAATCGCTTTACTGATTTATTTTAAAAGCTTTTTCAGTTCACCTTTAAGCTTTGACTTAAGAAGACAGTGATAATAGCTGCTTCTTGAACCAAAAGAGAGAATTAAATGCAAGAGGTATGAGACCCGAAGGTGCAATCGTAGCTAATAGATTTCAGTAAGAGAGAAGCACCCTTTTTTATGCAGCCCTACAGTTTCTGCTATGAAATATATATATATATCAGAAATTTTTGCAACACTTTGCAGTAAGAGATAGAACATGATTGACTCTCTTTAATATTCGCTGTAATAACATGAAACATGGCTGAATTCTCCCGGTATCCTCCTGCATATATTATCTCATTTCATAGGAATTCTGCTGTGAGAGGGCAGCCTAACAATATCTTCATATAAAAGCATTACTGCAGTTTCCCAGAGAAGAGAGTAAAGCAGTGCCATTGGAGCCACAGGTTCAGAATGGAATTGTCTGGAATGGCGAAGAATTTCAGACCTTTAATATCCTGAATACATCCTTTCTCAAGTCTTACAAGGAGCACTTTCCAGGCCAAATTATCATGGACACCAGCACATCTCTAAAGCCTTGTATCAACATCTGTCAGCATGTTGACAAGCAGGGACTGACACCTCCAAATTGTGATCCAAATGTGGTTTTCTGTTACTCCAGAAAGAATGTGGCTCCTCAGTCACTGGCACATCTGGATGTTACCCCTGAGGTGCCATCCAGCAGCACTGGGCACACTGCTGCAGTCTGCAGCACAGCCTCTTGCTTGTTTGTGGCAGGAGCCCAGCTGAATTTTTAAAATCCAGGTTGCTCACAAGTTTCAACTAAAAAGTCGTCTTTTAATTTAGAAGCAGAACCAGCCCAGCCTGGATTTTCCAGTCATTGAAATGATGAACAAAGAGCTGGTGCTGATATTTTTTTCCAGAACACAGACAGGGTTTTAGATATGATGACTGGAACTAGTATTTCTAACAAACAGATTGTCTTGCTTTTTTATCATCTGGTTTTATTTACTACATTTGTGCTATTAATGACTGGTTAAAATGAGTACCAAAAGCCCATATAGCCTTTCTTAATTCCTGCATTTATCAACATATAAGGAAGATCAAACAAAATCTGTAGAGTTCCAGTCATCAACAAAATAAGATAAAGAGATCTCAGTTACCACAGGGAACAGTGAAGACAACCAATTTATTTGTAGTCTTAGGATACATGTCATGAATGTCACTACTTTGCTCGTGACAAGCTGAAGGAAAGTATCTTTTTTAAGCCTGGAAATCCAGGTTAATGATGAAACTGGATCCAAGATTAAACACTTTCCTGTCTAAAAACTGCAGTCCTTGTGTCTGCTTTCACAGGTATTTATAGAGTCTCAGGCATCACAGCACCTACGGATGCATTGATACTGCCAGGGGGGTGTTGTTCCTGCCTGCTGTTGGATTTCAGTAGATGCAGTGCTCTCCTTTGCTCTCTCTGTCTTAACCCAGAGTGACTTTATCAATCAGGGGTTTTTTCAGCATTTATCTGCTTCTAGCCTCTGCCCATGAATACAGCAGAAGGTAGAGAAATGGTTACATTATGTGGAATGTTCACATTTTCCTCCCAGCGCTGCACGCTCGGTGCACGTGCGCTGGCTGGGGAGTGCAGAGCTGGAACGTGGATTTCCTAATCACCGTCAGGCTAATGGGAAATGGGGGGGTGCTGCAGTGTCCCTGTAGGATGGGGGATAGTAGCAAAGAAAAACATTTCCTTTATTAGTTAAATGAGTTTGGAGTGATTACTTTGCTTTAAGATTGCAGCTCTGCTGCAAACTATGATTGAGAAACACTCATCGGTAGTTAGCTGCAGTGGCTGTGGGAGAATCCTGCTGTGATATTTCATTTAATAGCACTCTGAAATTTTCCCTTCTTTTCAGATGGCATCTTTGACATCTATTAGAGGCTATTTCTTTTCCTTAGATCCAGAGAAAACCTTTTGCTATGTCAGGGTACAGTCCAAAACTGGATCTCAGTGCCGAGGCTGATTTTAGGTGCTGAACTGGAATGCTGAAATTCTTCATATGAACACCCTGAAGTGCAGAATTGCCAGTTTCTAGAGTGAGCTGCAAGGCTGTCCTCCTCCTCTTTCATTTACCCCTCCACTTAGTCTCATTAGGCAAACAAGAAGCTTAATAAAAGCCACTCAAACTTGAATAAAATCCTTGCTGCATATTGATATCAGCGGGAATCTCTTCTGTAGACATTAAGTCCAAGCTAAAAGCTCATCCACAAACTTCATTCAGGTTGATTTAGAACTTCAAAAATTAGAATCACAGGCTGCAGCTGGGACTATTAACCTTGATAAAGTACCCTCTTTCCACTCACTGCAGTCACGTCCTCTCTCTTTATCACAGGGATCATAAAAGCATGATTTATCTCTCTTATTTTGGCAGGTTTTATCCCACCACCGCTGATCTTCGGGGCCGGGATTGACTCCACGTGTCTGTTCTGGAGCACATTCTGCGGCGAGCAAGGAGCCTGTGCACTGTATGACAACGTGGTCTACAGATACCTGTATGTCAGCATTGCTATCGCCCTCAAGTCCTTTGCATTCATCCTGTACACAACCACCTGGCAGTGCTTGAGGAAAAACTATAAAAGATACATCAAGAACCACGAAGGTGGTCTCAGCACTAGTGAGTTTTTTGCCTCTACTCTCACCCTAGACAATCTGGGGCGGGACTCGGTGCCCCAAAATCAACCACATAGGACAAAATTTATCTATAACCTTGAAGATCATGAGTGGTGTGAAAATATGGAGTCTGTTTTATAGTGACTGTGGAGGGGTGAACTATATTAATAATACAAGGGTCCTTTTTAATAAAAACAAGGAGAGAGCACGAATGAGAGAAGAAACAACTGCAAAACAGCATCGACAACACAGGAAACTTTTGTCTTTTTCTCAAAGTCAGACCCAGCCAGGATTCTTGAGGACAGCATCTTTTAATGGGATCACTTGTGACATCCTGCAGGGTGATGGAGAAAGCAGGGAGCCCTTGTGGCTGGGTACCAACTCCTTTGGCAACAGTACGAGCTTCCAAGGAGGGCAGAGGTTCGCTGGAGAGACCGGCACAGGCTTGGGAACGAGGCATAGGGAAAGCAAGCTGATAACAGCAAGCTGATAACAGCAAGCTGATAACAGCAATAGGTTTTTTCCCAGTTGAGATGGGCTGTGTGGAGCCCTGCGGGGTTGGCCAGGCTGGGTGCTGCTCCAACCTGCTGCGTCTGCCATGGCAAGGAGGGAGCGGTGCTGGAGTCCTTCCAGCAGTCACACTCTGTCACCAGCCACGAGTCCACGATAAATACCTTGAAAGCTGCTGGAAACCTTCCCGGTGGCGAGCAGTGCTGTCAGGGGTATCCAAGTCCTTCCAGCCCAGGCTTATTCGCAGATTGCAGCTTGGTGGCTGTCTGCGAATAGCTGCGCTCAGATCTCAAACCCAGTAGAGTTCAAGACATTTGCTCACACTTGCCAAACGTGCTGTCATTTTTAAAGGGGGATGAGTTCCAAATACTTACCTGTGTAGTCCTCTAATGAGATGTTTTTTGAAATTATTTTCAAATCTATGTTAACCCTTAAATCGCTGACACTTTTCCATGAGGAGGATTTATTTATGCTAGTTTGGGGAAGGATCCTGTTTAATTCACCCAAACGTAATGTGACTCAAGGGGTTTGTTTAATCCTCTGCATTTTTTATCCATACGCCTTCATTCTAATATGCTACCAAGCCAATGAAGACACATAATATGTTTTTAAAAAAGAGAATGAATGCACTGTGTCTCTATAAAAACAATTGTCAGTTGGAGAATTACAGATAATATGATGATTTACATAATATAGTTTTTTTCATATTTTATGTGACTCAGTGAATACATATATATGTGGAGAGGCTGTTTATGTTCTCTCCAGTTTTTAAAGATATATATATATATATATATAATTTGCAATCTAGAAATTGTGTGGTGGATGTTTTCTTTAAAGTGTGTGTGTGTGTGTGTGAGCGTGTGTGTGTACAAGATGAGAGGAATACCTTAATCCTTCAACCCTCACAAGTGGTATTTTATTTTTCACCAGAGAAATTCCACTGACTTTCAGTGGAAGCCATGTGAGGAAGATGGAATAATCTCTCCTGGATACCACATTTTGTTTGTACGTGTGGGAATAGTGTTCCTCCGGAAGGCTGGGTTATGGGAGCAGAGGCTGGCCAGCACTGAGCAACTCAAACTTCCATTCAGCTCCCCACAAACATCCATGCAGGAGCAGATTTGGCTTGGCTCTTGCAGTGCAGACTTACCTAAACCTGCAAAAACCGTGGGGAAACTTTCATCTGATTACAAGAAGCATGGGGGTCAGGCTTATTTTGTATGCATATTTTTGTTTTCCAAAACATTCCTGCTGGGAAGCAATGCAAATTGGCAGCATTTGATGAGCTTTTCCCCAGGAACCAGACTTGTTTCCAATGGACTAAATGTCAGAAGGGCTTTAAGGGTTAGCATCGTAATTAAAAGTTCCTTTTTTGTGTGAATTTCAAAGCTGTTGTGATGAACTTGAGGATGTTTAGAGGAGTAACCTGGCATGTTGAGTCAAATGCTGGATGTCACTTCCATGCAGGTGGCAGAGGGGCTGATCTTCCCCAAATCCTTTTCCGTTGCTGCAGTGGACACGCCAGAGCTGACACAATTACAGAGGGTTGATAACGTTTCACTCATGTTCAGCACCTTTTTAGCAGACTTTGCTCCTATCCAGGCTTTGCAGTATGGGTGTGGAGTATCAAACTGCTTCCACTTGACTGACATTACATGTGTGTTTGCAACTTATGCACAGAATTACATGTTCAGCAACAATAAGGGCAGGAAAAAAGGCTGCATCAAATAAACTCCATTGTGCCAAATACTCAACAAATATTGTAACTGCAGATATTTAATTCTTGGGTTTCAGCCACGTTAAGATTCACTCGACTGATGAAGGAGTTTAAGGGAAAAAAAAATATTAAGTTATGCAGTGCCATTCTTATGCTGGGTGGTAAATGATGCTTTTTAGACCATTACATTGGTTTAGTATGTCCTATCTGCTAAAACAGAGATACTGCATCCATAAAACAATGAATTCAAAAAAGGCACAGGGTGCATAACTGTCTCATAAAATATATATAATTGTCAAGTATAAGCCTTTGAAATAATTCTGTACGGTTTCCTTCATTCTGCAGATTCATTACTTAGACTGCTGTCTTTCCAAATGTTAGCTCATAATTTTATACTATACACACACTTTCAGACTGGAACACAAATTTCACAGAACAGAACCTTTCTAAAAGCCTGATTGCTTGAAATTTCATAACGCTTTTCACAATTTCATGATTTTCCCCTCTGAAAGTGCAAGGTGAAGGAGATTAGCATGCTGATTGATATGATGTAAAACAAACTCCCAGTGTTCATGAGCTGTGGTTTGTTGGTACAAAGTCCCCCTTGACCGGAGTTATGGAAACAGGATTCCAGGGCACATAACATTTTCATTTTTTGTTTTTCTTTACTTTTTCCATTTGATCTCTTCTCTTAGTATGTGTGGGAGATGCAGTTGAATGGGGTTACTTACATTATTTTTAAGCTGTAACTTGAAATTCCTGCATGATTGTTATTTTATTTCTTTTCATAATGGAATTTTTGAAAAGCTTTTCTCCCATCCCACTCTTATTTTTATTTTTTTTCCCCAGGGTTAGGTCTGATGCCTGCATCGTGAAGGGCTTTGCTGTCAGTGCTTTGGTACAGATTTAAGAACAGAGCTTTAGTTTAAAGAAAACAAACACAGACCAAACACTTCATCCACACCAGCAGGCATTTTATTTTTTTTTTTTCTGATTTCAGAACCACAAGCCATTTTTGTCTGCAACCCAGTTTTTGTTACAGAATAACAAATGAAGAGTGTCAGACATCCTCCTTCTTCCCAAACTGCGTTATGGGCCTTCACCTGTCAGCACTTCGCCTCCATCCTGCAACTGCCTTAACCATGCAGGAAACTTAAAAAACAAGGATGGAGTTAGACAAATGCCCATTCCCAGGAACAGAAACAGGGGCGTGGTCTGAGCTGTGCAGTCCAGATCCAGTGGCAGAAATTGTTTCTTAATTTTCAAGAGCATTGAAATTGAGGGGTTTGTTAGGGCCTCAGTCTCAGCAGAAATGTCCTTTTGGCATTTTCAAGCACTGTGTTCCCCACGTGGCTGTCTGCTAAGGAATGGGATGTTGGGAAAAACTAACTACTTGAGATTCTGCAGTCTCTCTGGGATTGACCAGTTGCCTTGCATGGCTTCAGGTTGGGGTTTCCTTTCCCGTGCACAGATCCTACTTTGGAATAGTCCCAGTGGAATAAAAAGGGAACCCCAATCTCAATTTGGTGCAGATGACACTGGAATAGTTTTCTCTGCATCCTTGTTAACAAGGTGATGGATTTCCAGAACCTTCTTTTAATGTATATAGAAATCATCCGTTTTTCTGACTTTGCTCAGCACATCTTGGATGTAGAGTGGGACTGAAGGGTCCATCACTTGAATTATCACTTGAATATCACAAACCTTCCATTCCTGGTAATTCAGCTAACAGGGACCTCCCTCTGCCATTCCCCTCTGAGATGCACTAAACTCCTTGGTGCTGCTTCTCTTAATCATGGTTGGGTCTCACCTTGCTCAGAAGGTGAGAAGGGAAAGATGCAGAGAGGAATTAGCTTCCATTATCTGACTTAGCTACGCTTCAAAATGCTTCCAGATTGAGCTGGAAGCTGATGGTTTGCAGACATTTGGAAAGTGATTGGAGTATTTGCAAATGGCTGAGACACATCGACTTCTTTTTCCTTGCAAAAAGAAATAAATTAAAATTAAGGGAATGAGTGTGATTTGGACCCCCTCCTATCCCCATCAGAGTTTTATGTTCATCATATTGCATTGGAGGCAGTGTGCTTAAGGTTCACCTTTGTGTCTCAGACAGACTCACATTTTTTCTCAGTAAATGAGGTCCTGGGACTCAGAAGGGCAACTCCAACTCACAGCCAGCAGTTTCACTCCACAGCCAATCCACAACAACCTGAAGTCTATCAGCACTGTGAAGCTTTAGTCCCCAAGTCAGCCACAGCTGTTGCTGCCATGTGAGAGTTTGTCACAGCTGGGTGTGTTTGGCTTGGTGTTTTCTTCAGACTTTGGCATTCTTGGTGTGATGTTTGCTTTATTCTTGGCAGGTGACGTGGGGAATTGTCAGTACAAAAGACACATGCAAATGCTTCACTGGACTGCTGTGATAACAGCTTTGTTTCTTTATTCACAAGGGTTTCCAGAGTTACTCCTGCTCTGCCTTTAAATGCAGCTGTGCTCATCTATCCCCCTAATTTCATGTGAACTGTGTTTGCAGACAGGAGCAGGTTTGTTGATGTTCTCTCTCTAGATCTGATTAATATGTGCAAAGCTCACAAGTTTCCTGTGCACAGGGCAGAGCACCTCTGATTACAAGCAATAATACTGACCTGCTCTTGTTTGCAACAGGGATTCTGGCTTTCCTTACCTAAATCTGTGTTCGCCTCTCCCAGCATCCCACACCACTGCTGTGACTCCCCTGGTTTGTTGGCAGCCAAGATTCTACAATCAGTGGAACACAGGCAGCAGTTCATTAAGATGGGAATTTTTGGTGTGACCCAGATTCAGCTGTGCTTACCTGATGGTTGGGACTGACCCGAGGAGGAAAGGACATTGTAACTGAGCCACTTGGTGTCTCTGAAGGGATTATCCACCCTTCTGTGCTCCTCGATAGCCCTACCTCCACCAGACCCATGTTTTGTGGGTGTTTTCTTCCAGGCTGACCATCAGCTTCCTTTCTCTAGCCACAGTTCTTCCTTCCTTCCCCTGATGGCAAAGCACAGCTTGGCTATACCAAGTCAAATGATGGTACCCAGAGTTACTGAGTGGTGTTTAAATTTGCCTGGAATGCCAGCAGGTCTCAGTTTTGCATATGTTCAAAATGTTATAGTTCGTTCTGCTTATATCCCCTAAATCTGTAACTTCTAGGCTGCAAATGATGTTTTCTATCATTCCATTGACATTTCTAGCCAATCTCAGTCTTAATACAATTGCTTTGCTGAAAAATGGCCTTTCAGCAGTTCTTAGACATGAGGTACTTCTTTATTAACTAGTGATGCCAAAAATCTTTGGCCATTGTCTGTTCCCTGAATTCAGAAGGAAGCTGTGCCTGCCCAGAAGCAATACTGATGTTTCCTGGGGCAGAGTGTGAACATGGACTGCTTTTCTTTCAGCTTCAGTCTTGCCTTGACTGTTTGGCTCTGGGCATCTCTTGGTTCCAGAAGGACCCAGGGAATTCAGGAGAAGCCATGTGGACAGAGCAGTCCTATTTAGATGTCCGCAAGAATAGGACTTTCAGGATGTTTGTAGTGTTCATATTGTTTTGCTTGTCAAAGCTTTGCTTCAGTCTGTATTTGTTTGATGAATGGAATGACCATTCATCAAACAAATGGGGTTTGGGATGGGATGAGTTTGTGATGTTTCCCCCACTTTATTCAGATTAAGTGTGGCAGAGCAGGATGCCCAGCCCCAAGAAGGAAAAGATTTGTCATACCCTGAGCAGTTTGTAGTGCTGGACTTGTTCTACACAAAGTTGGTGTCTGCATATGGCAGGAAGCAATAAGAAACTTGCCAGCTGCAACTCAGAAAATAATTTATAGCAATTTCATACATAAGTTTTCCGTTTTATTTCTTCCTTGCAAAATGCTGAGAAAACCAAGAAAATGCCTCCAAGGTCATTTCTTCATATCATCTGTGGTCTGGAGGAGTTGGAAAAGCTTTCTTGTCATTTATACGAGGCTGGATGTTCTGGATGGACATAAAACTCATGGGTTATTTCTGCTCCCTGAGTTCCCTAGGCTGGAATTTTCTCATCAGTAAAAATATTTAGTTCAAATGTGATTAGGAATTGAGTAAGAGGATCCTTGCTCAGTGCCAGTGGGCTGAGCACCGCTGGACACACAGCATTCCGGGACAGCCAAAGTGCTGGCTTCCAACTCACAGTCCACTTTCCAGGAATATTCTCTCACAGATGCTTGAAATTCTCAGCCTCTCCCAGTGTTCCTACTGGTTAAAGCACTCATTTGAGTAATTTAGAGAAATTAATTTGAGAGCAAACACGAGAAGGGTATGAACCCAGACAAAACCAAATTGGTATTGAGGCGAAGCAGGTGGTGTAAATTTTATTTGCGATGTTTGCACAGCTCTTGGATCGGAAGCAGAAACCTCTCGGGCATCAAGAGAGTTGCACATGGCCTAACATATCTTAGATCTTCCCAAATGAACTGCCCGTGGGTGGGACAGCAAAAGGCTTCTTTCCCTGCCACGGATATCTCACCCCCAGAACCCGTTTTCTCTTGCAGTACGGCATCGCACAAACACCGGTGCATTTACCCCTCAGTGCAAACAGTGCTGTGTTTCTGGTGCCTCACAACAATAACTGTGAACTTGAAAGGAAGAAACGATCCCTGTTCTTCACCCGTGACCCTTCCTGCCCGATCACAGGAGGAGGATGATCCCTCTTGGAGACTCACAGCCGTTCTCCTAAAGTCTTACAGCAGCAGGACCAAACGGTGCTCTGTGATCACGGGTGGCCTATGCCCTGTGCTAGGGGTCTGTAGCTCAGCTACAGCCCCACGTTGCCTTCACAGTGTGTTGGTGCAAAGCCTGCTGAGGAGGCTGCACATGACTGCCCCTGACAAGTGCTAAGGGCTGCCAGTGGTCTGTGACCACCAAAGTTTTGGAGTCTCCACGTTAGCACATGAAAGCGGCTTCCCTCACCTGCTTTTGGGGAAGAGCCATCCCAGAGCAGGTTCAGAGGGAAACTGGAGCAGCGCTGGGACCGCACAACAGGGAGCTCTTGGTACCACACCCGCAGGGAGGAGGGGGTGGGATGGAGCAGGGGAAGAGCTGTGACATTTTAAAACCCATAGTGCCTACCGCTGCAAATGGAACGCTGTATTGTATTATATTATACGTGACTACCGTGTAAATAAAGTACAATAAATGTGGTGTTCGTTAGGATTTTGATACAAGTCAAATGCAGTCTGCAGAAATGTTTTTTCCCTGCTGTATGTACTTATACCACATTCCAGGCATGGGGACATTGGAGTCGTGTGAGCTAGCAGTGCATAAATGGCATTAGACGGGGCGTGTTTGCAGTAAGGCTGTTCTAAAATTCTTTTTGCCCTGTGCAAGTGAGACACAAGCACCATCTGAAACCAGAGGGGAGGGAGTGGGGACAGTTCACACAGGCAGGAGGAGAGCAGCTCTTGCTGTGCTTGATGAGAAGAGACTGCCCGGCCAGTCCTTGGCCATGCCTCACTCGTGGTGGAGAGACAGCGAGGTTTTGGTGGCTGATCTCTCTTTGCTTGTTTTCCTGCTGCAGAGGTTGACCAGCAGCACATGCCCTGCCTGTGTAACCTGGTTATTCCCCACCCCTGACAGCCCTTAGTGGCAGCTACAGATGAGCAAACTCGAGAACTTAAAATTCAAAGCAGATTGGGAAAGGAGTTCTGTTCTTGACCAGCTGGCTCCTCTGTGTCTCTAGCAGAGATTGAGGGGCTTGGAGTTTTGGCTAATAGTATTAGGATTTTGTTCCTTAACCCACTCCCTTATCCATCCTTCTCTTTCTCCATAGTGTAAATAAAGAAAATTATACATTTTCACGAGGCAGGCCTGCCATGTGCCCTCCAAATCCTGATGTGTCTCCTAACTGAGTTGTTGGTGGGAGTTTCTCTGGGCTTCAGAAGCTCAGGACTCCTCTGACAAGGGTTTGCAGCTGGTGTGTGCGTGTAATCTTCCCTCAGTGCATGGAGGCTGCTTCCACACTGGTTTTCTTGTTGGAGAACAAGACCACCCCATGCAGTGTGTCACACCTGTGACTGAAACTCACCTGCAGAGCTCTGTGCAGGGTTCACAGCACTGGAGGAGAATTTACCTGCCTCTGTACCAGACCAGTCCGTGGTGTTTGTCCCTCATACCATTGCTGTCCTTCACAGTCACCTGGGCAGGCCAGCAATTGTGGGTTGTGGAGAAGGTCCTCCCTGCACAGAACATCTCCACAAATAGTCTGCAGCACTGTGTGGGACCTGGACGAGCCCACGTGCCACTGCCCCTTCTCGGGCTGAGGGTTACTGTTCTCCTGCAGTGCCCAAGCAAAAGTGGTCCTCAGAAAGGTCTTTGAACTGTGCTGGTAATTTTTCAGATGTTTAGCAGCACTTCCAAAATAAACCAAAACCTGGTTTGGAAAAGGAAATGTTTCACTGTACAATTGATTTAAAAAAAAAAAAAAAAGAGAAGCCACATGCTTGATATATTTTGAGTACTGTGTTCTGTATTTTTGCAGCTTATATTTTCCAGATGAGCAGTTTAGAAATATGTGATGTGAAATACATACTGTAAGTTTGCTGTAAATGATATTAAAAACACTATTTTCATTCTTGTCCTGTCTCACTGGATGATCTCTTTGGTTCTCCCAGGTTGGCTGGCTGGGCTGGTGCTCTGACTGTTCCAGAAAGTTCTCAGTCTCAGTAAAAGCAGGGCTGAGAGCTCAGGCTGGAGGTTCTGATGGTGATGAAAGTTTGCTAGAAATGACAGTGGGGGTGAATGTGTTCTGTGCATGTGCAGTGCCTTCAGAGGGGAGGTCCAGTGAAGCAGTGGTTGTGGCAGAGAAGGTAAGGCAGGTTTTGGGGAAGG